GAGAAGAAAGCAGCCAAACACTGCTTGGTTTACCTTTTCCATTCATTTCTATCTTCGATGTGCTGTCCACTTGAACCTCAACTGCTCTAAACGCCATGACACCCCCAACCACACCCAACCGAGCATTGCATGTCAACGTACAGGACTGGGTCAGAGTGACTTTGTTAAAATTAGGAAAACGTTGAGCAATGATCTCGCAAGGGGAACCAGAAAAAACCAGTTTGATTGATGTGTGCAAGATAACGGTACAGCTGCATTAAAGAAATAGGAAAAAAACATTACTAGTCAATAGATCGATTACAAGCTGTCAAAAGATCGATTACATTCTGCTTGAGCATGCAAAATATTTTTCCTTCAGCAGTTTCGAACTGGAATCCATAGTATTGTACCCCAGGTGAATCTATAAGTCTCTTTTAGAGACCTTTCTCCTTTCGAAAACAATCATCGAGAAAGGCAAAAGATATTTTTTTGATTCATCTGACGACGAAGAAAGTTCGTTATCTGAAGGTGTGCCGTCACGTGCACGCTAGCAGTCCCTCGTACCATTCACCATGTCATACTCATAGATTTTTTGTTTGTTTGTTTGTTTTTTTGTTTGTTTTTTTTTTGGGGGGGGGCGTTCGGTTTTTCAGTTTTCTATAATTGAAGACGTTTTCTATTGGATGTGAGGCGAAAACAACGAAAACCAATCTTTGCTTCAATTCCACGAGTACGTTTGAACGAGGCCTCAACACCCACACGCTAAAATTCTTAGAAAACACAATGCAAACCTTACTTAATGATTTCCTTGACTCTGACAATGTCATACTTCCCGTAGTCACTTGCATCAGCTCGGCTCACGAACAACAAAAGTTCACTTGTGTCTTCTAAGTCTTTAGGGTTGCAGTTCTCAAGACTGAGTGAAATCGGTCCTAAGATTTTAGCTTTCCATGCTTTCATGTGATCTTGACACAGGTTCAAAACTTTGTTTTGACAATTCACATCACCAACTGAAGAGAAAGATAAATGATGTTTAAAAATATATTCTCCACATTTTTTAAATTATTATTTACATGTAGTCTCTTTTAGCAGCTTTTGTGATTTCTTTGCAAAACCTTCACAACTACTCGGATGTTACTTGTAAATAAAAATCAAAAAGGCTTTTTGGGAAGTGGACCAGTTTTAGCGGACATAAAAACCACGAGGACTACATTCCCCATCATTCTTTGCAACTGAGAATGATTATGAATAATCGAGACTGATAATATATTCCTGGAGCCATGATGTGTATTGGGTTAGTCACAGTGTTTTCATAGACGTGTTTTTTAATTTTTTTTTGCTCGACCAATTAATGAACAGTCCACTTGCGGTGCGCGTAAATCCGTGGGAAACCAAAATAGAATAATAAAGAAACGTGGCGAATGATAGAGAGAGCGAATTTGAACTAGTCTTTCTGAAATAAGTTATAACAAAGAGTTTACTGATGAAGAGACGACTGATGAAAAATCTAAAAATAGCSTCGTCTATGAAAACGCCGTGACGCGTAGGCACAATAA